ATATACGCTACCATTCTAATCTCTTCATATTTTATAAAATATAATCTTTTGTATCTTTTAATTATTTTGAATTACATTTCTTTTATTGCCTCCGTCATATTCTATAATCATTGCGATCTTGTGAAAGGGCCCGTATGGGACTAGCGTATCTCCGGATCCACAAAACATTAAGTCCCGTTAAGAATTAATATTGTTAGGGCAAACAAATCTTCGAGGTTTTATACACGCGCTTCCCGCACGTAACAGTCACATCAACCTTGTGAAGAAATTTTGATTTTGAGAAAGAAAATCTAATTTTAAAGCTTAAGTATTTTTAGAAGAATTTTAAGAATGGTAATATATACATTAAATAATAAAACGACATGTATTTTTGACATTATGATTTTTGACTAAAAAATCAGTTTTCAGGTAAGACACTGAATATTAGCCGTTACGAACGAAAATTATATTTACAAGGGATACACGCCGATTTTGACGCACTTTGAGTATGATATAGAACGCAAAAAAATATTTAACACATATTTTTTTTATCGGCCATCGTTCACATTGAAGTGATGAAAATAGCCGTTAAAGTTAAGCACTGAAATCATACTTTTGGGAATATCTCCGGAATTAATGGAGATAATTGGAAGCATTTTTTTTTAAATTGTTGGTCTATAAATAGGACACTTTTGTGTGTACAAAAATGTTAATAAACATTATTTGTTTATTTGAATGTATATACAGAAGGAGAAGTATTTACTAATTCCGTTACTGATGTGATTAGTTTTTATTCCAGTGGTTTCGAGGTATAATTACGTTAGCTAGTTGTAGTATTCTGTATGATTGTATTAATGTCATTGGTAATCATATTTTTTGCGGTAAAATCGGTATGGTGTGGGCATTGCTTGGAGAGGTGGAAAATTTTTAAATCGCAGATATTTTAATTTGGAAAATTGAAAAAACAGATCTTCTGGAAATTGTAGAACTGGTTGAAATAAAAAATTGAGGAATTTGGAAATTAACAAGCATAAAAATTGAGAAACTTGAACACTGCAAAATTTTTAAAGTACAGTATTAGACAGTTTGAGAATTAGAAACTATATACATGCAAAATGGAATAGTTGAAGAATGGAAAATTTAGAAACTGAAGAAATGAAAAATCTGAAGATCCATAAAATTTGGGGTTTTTAAAAAGTGAGAAATTTCGAAATTTAGATATTAAATGTTTTGAAAATTTATGAATTACGAAATTGGAACATTTACTAAAAGAAAATTTTAGAAATTTATAAAATAAAAAAATAGCAAGCTTCAAATTGGCAAGTTGAGAATTTTACAAGCAAAAAGGTAAAGAAATTGAAGAATTGTGAAATCAGTAATTTTGGTAGCTGAGATACTTTGAAATTAGGAGATTAGAAATTAAAAAGGAACCAATTGAAGAATTATGAAATTAGTGTATGCGGAGCATCGGAGATGTAGCGGCTAACTATAAATCTGTAAATTTTGTAAATAGCTTTTAACGTGCAAACGGCTAGCACGGTTTATGACATGGACGACAGCGGAACTGTTTTTGAGGAAACCGTTTTAGAATTTTTAGTGAAAGCATGATCGTACTTAAAATTTTGCCAACGGTCTTAACAGTAAAACGCTCAAGTGTCATAAACCCTGGGTTTCCCCGTGGGCCTTCATCGAGAGGTCAAGCGACCATCGGCTGGCCGCGTAGCTAACCTAGGGCACGGGGAAATTCCGCTGCGTTGCCACCTTTGCCAGCAAACGCACCCCCGTCAAATCGTACTCCCGCTTCAAGGAAGCGTGCTTCGGGCATAAGAGAGAGGTCGTACGATTTGGCAGGATATAGGTTTCTTTAATTGGTTAACCCCACCTAGTCGGGGGTTGGCTTAAGGAAAAGGGTAGGTTTTAAAAAGAAGAAACTCAAGCGCAAAAATGGATAGTTCGCATAGTTCATAGTTCTGACAAGGGACATCACCAACCCGTTCCGTGATCCGGAACGAGAGTCGCCTGTGGCCGCGATCCATCCACTGCTTCAGGCGTGGAAGGATCGCCCCGACCGCGCGTTTCACCGCGGCCCCGCTGGCAGTGAGTTCCGCGCGCCAGCGGGAGATAGCGACGCGGCGAGCCTGGAGCCTGACCTCCTCGACGCTGGGCCCTGGCAGGACACCCTCGATAACCCCCACCCGGCGGAGGGCGCTTCGGTGTCTATACACTTCAGCCTCCACCTCTGTCTGATGCTTCCAGGAAATTACTCCTGTCAGGACCATCGCCGACTCGTAGGAGTTCGTGCGGTAACCCATCGCCACCCTGATCGCCAGTCGCCGCTCCACACGTCGCAGAACTATCCGCCTGGCGGCCAGGTCGGCTGCCCAAACTGGGGCGTCGTATAGGGCCATACTTCGCACGACCCCGATATAGAGTCGACGAAGCTTCTCGCTAGGACCCCGCAGGTTGGACAATAGGCGCGCCAACACGCCTGCCACGCGCTCCAACCTGGGGGCCAGCTCGTTGAAGTGGCCAACGAAACTCCAGAGGCTGTCCAGTCGGAGTCCGAGATAACGCATCTCGGACCCGATCTGGACCTCGACCCCGTCCACCCGGATCAGAGCTCCGGCCGGAGGCAAGTCCCCACGTGTCCCACATGTGTGGCGGAAGGCCATCACCTCGGTTTTGTGGGGAGCCACCTCTAACCTGAGCCCCCGGATCGCGGAAACAATCACCGAGGCTCCCAGCTCCGCGAGGCGGCTGGTCCCCTCCCATGTACGCCCCGTTGCGTACGCCCCGTTGCCAGGATGTGCGTATCATCCGCAAAACAGGTGATAAACACCCCCGGCGGCAACGGGGCGCACAGAGCGGGGTCGTACCCCACTAGCCTCAGGAACGGCCCGAGTGCCGATCCCTGGGGCACGCCCTGCTCAACACCCCAAGCCTTTAATGCGCCCGACCGATCGGTGCAATGAATTGACCTCTCCCGGAGATAGTCCCCAATTATACCCGTTAATAGAAGAGGCACTTGTAGCCTCTCTAACCCCTGCTCTATCACTCGGTGGGGCAGGGTGTTGAAGGCGTTCACGATATCCAAGGATATCGCGATCGCCACCCCACCCCTTGGTGTGACCGACTGCGCGATGGCGCGGACTCTGTTAACCGCGTCCACGGTGCTTCTGACGTCATTTTCCCAATGACGTCAAACAATACGATCGGCCGGTACGTCGAAGGATCGCCGTCCATCCTGCCCTCTTTCTTTAGGAGGTACAGCCGCCCCAATTTTCAAATACCCGTATCCTAATAGGTTACTCCTAATAGGTTACTCCGTATCCTATCCCATAGGAATGGGAGCACCAAAGACCAGACCCAGCCCGGTATGCCGTCAGGACCCTGAGATGTATTCCGGGCACTTGCCCGCCTGACGGCATCAACGAGCTTCTCCTCGGAGACCGCCATATTCATCCTTCTGTGGACTGACGACCCGGAGCGCGCCGGGGGATTGTCATCACCCGGAAAAAGTCGCTCCACGACGCGCTCCGACGCGCTTCAGTGTCTGGGGGTCGAGGCTCCCTGCTATCGGGGGCGGGGGGCACGGTCTTAACTTGCCCATAACTAGTTTGTATGGGCGCCCCCACCGATCCCGCTCCAGAAAGCCGAGGAACCCGTCCCAGGCCCGGTCCTTGGACTCCTGAATCGCCGCTCTAAAGGCGACGACTGCGCCTCTATTTCCTCCCACAGAAGCTGCTCCCGCGCAGGGTCGCGGTTGCATCTACGCCGGGCACGCTGATACTGGCGTCGCCTAGGGAGACATTGCTCGCCCAACCGAGCAATCTCCGGTGTCCATCAGTATGCGGCCCGACGCGGGTGAGGAGTGGCCCGGGGCATCGCCACGTCGCAGATGCCCTGCACTGTGTCCCGGAGCCACTCAGCTTCACCCTCGACGTCCGCGACCTCCCTGACCGGAGAAGCCGGCCAGCAAGCCACGCGGGCAGCAGCCTCCAAATAATCCGTGTCGAGCCTCTTCAGCGCCCACCTGCACGGCGGTGGGCGTCTACTCCGGCGGCACCGGGTGTCGGAGGAGAAATCTAATCTAATATAAAGGTGGTCGCTCAATGTCTCTACTTCCTCCGCCACCCGCCAGCTCGTCACGGTACGCGCGACCGCAGGG